TGTTTAATGCCAGTTCCGGGCCGTCCCAGGTGTGTTCCAGAGGCAGTTTGGCCTGGAAAGGATTAATAAAAGAGTGAGAGTTCCCAGATTCATTTCTAGAATATTGTTCTAGAGTGCCTGTTATGCATGCCACTGTTTTTTGTGGTACTATTGTCTGTTTAATGCCCGTTCCGGGGTGTTCCAGGGGCAATTTGGCCTGGAAACGGTTAATTAAAAAGTGAGAGTTCCGTGTTTCCACTTCTAGAATACTGTTCTGGAGTGCCTGTAATGCATGCCACTGTTTTTTGCCGTTCTATTCTTTGTTTAGTGCCCATTTTGGGCTATTCCGGAGGCATTTTGGCCCAGAATGGGTTAATTAAAGCGTGAGTTCCGTGTTTCCACTTCTAGAATATTGTTCTGGAGTGTCTGTAATGCATGCCACTGTTTTTTGCCGTACTATTGTGTGTTTAATGCCTGTTCCGGGCGATTCCGAGGTGTTATGGAGGCATTTTGGCCTGGAAAGGGTTAATAAAAGAGTGTGAGTTCCCTGTTTCCACTTCTAGAATACTGTTCTGGAGTGCCTGTAGTTGTCAGCGAGCTGCCATGGAGTTCTGTGTAACACTGTGAACTCTGTTTTGGGTTCGTCCCTTCCCCCCCTTCCTGCAGCCGCTTGTATCTCCCTGTTGCTTCTGCTAAGCTCGTTAGGTGCATTCCTTTCCCTGTATGCTAGGTTGCTTTGAAACTTAGATAACGCCAAGGTCGAATGCTGGAGGTTTGTCGGAGTTTGGGGAACTGCTTTAATTGGTAGATAACATGGCTTGAGAACCGAAATGTTATGTGTGTTATGGACCGTTTGTTCCCAAGGGGTTTGGGCGCCAGAATACCTGCTTTTCCCGCACGCGGGAAGGGGCCCCATTGGCTATGGTCAGTTTTGGTTTTCTTTAATATAGTGTAACCCTGTGTTAGCTTTCATTCTTAACAATCCTGTTGTTCCTGATTTACCATCGCTTTAATAAATGCTACTTTCCTTGAAATGTGGATTTATTTGAATGCCTGGGGATTCGGACAGTAGTGCATACTACTGTTTTTTGTGGCACTATTGTGCATTTAATGTCCGTTCCGGGCCGTTCCGAGGTGTTATGGAGGCATTTTGGCCTAGAAAGGATTACTAGAAGAGTGAGGGTTCCATATTTCCACTTCTGGAATATTGTTCTGGAGGGCCTGTAATGTATTCCACTGTTTTTTTCAGTGCTATTGTCTGTTTAGTGCCCGTTTCGGGCTGTTATGGAGGCATTTTGGCCTGGAAAAGGTTAATAAAAGAGTGAGTTCCCTGTTTCCACTTCTAGAATACTGTTCTGTAGTGCCTGTAGTGCATACTATTGTTTTTTGCGGCACTATTGTGTGTTTAATGCCCGTTCCGGAGGCATTTTGGCCTAGAAAGGGTTAATAAAAGTTTGAGAGTTCCGTGTTTCCACTTCTAGAATATTGTTCTGGAGTGTCTGTAATGCATGCCATTGTTTTTTGCCATACTATTGTGTCTTTAATGCCCGTTCCGGGCCATTCTGAGGTGTTCGGAGGCATTTTGGCCTAGAAAGGATTAATAAAAGAGTGAGAGTTCCGTGTTTCCACTTCTAGAATATTGTTCTGGAGGGCCTGTAATGCATGCCACTGTTTTTTGCGGTGCTGTTGTCTGTTTAGTGCCCGTTTCGCACCGTTCCGTACTGTTATGGAGGCATTTTGGCCTGGAAAGGGTTAATAAAAGAGTGACAGTTCCCTGTTTCCACTTCTAGAATACTGTTCTGGAGTGCCTGTAATGCATGCCACTCTTTCTTGTGGTACTATCAGGGCCGGCTCACTCACTAGGCGAGCTAGTGTCTCGCCTAGAGCGCGGGGCCATCATGGGGGCGCTGAACTGAGCCGTCCCCCAAAAAGCCTCCCACCCAAAGCTCGCACCACGCACCCTGGCCAGGGCCAGCTGCAGGTTTTTTTGTACCATAGGTGAGGCTACATACTGGCACGCCCCCCTACTCCCGCCAATTACCAATTACAGGGTTGCCAACCTCCAGGCAGGGCTGCTGTAACCGGCCTGCCCATGGGGGCACCTGTGCCGACAGGAGTTCAGGGGAGGGGGTAAAGCCCGGGGGTCATGTGGAGCTGCCGGCTGCTCCCAGGAGAAAGGGGGCGACGACATTCTGGCACATCTCCCCCCCCCCCACGGGGCATTGCAAAGAGACGCTTTCTGGGACCAAACTGGCTTCTGCGGTAGGAAGGGGCCGGGAACCAACTTCTCCCAGCTGGCTGCAACGGGGGATGTTGCTGGCCTGAAACCCCATCTCGGCTGGCATGCGGGCGCCAAGAGCTGCGCAGGAGAGACAAGGGGAGCAGAGCTTGCATGGAGGTGCTTCCAAACCACGGGGACCAGTAAAGGACTTTGACGGGGGATCCCCAAATCGGGAACAGCCCCTTTTTTTGCACGCCAAGGGAATCCCCCCGCAGACACACACACACACACACACACACACACAAGCAGGGATCTAGGTGCAAATTCTGCTCCCACACACTAGGGGGTTGTCTTAGCCACCGGAGGCACCCCCAGAAGCAAAAGGCGCCACTCGAGGGAGCCCATCGTGACCAGAGGCAGGCACTGAGCTTTGTCTCCGAGACAGGCAGGCAGCTCAATGGGCGAGAGGACGCACGAGCGCTTGGACCGTGAGTAGGAGCCGTGTGGGCGGCCCAGGAGCAGGCAGGCGAATTGAAGGGCACCAACATGGGCTGCTTTCTCCAGGTCACTGGAGGTGCCGGAGGCAGCGGGTACGAGCTGGCCTGACCCTTGGCCGCAGAGGCAGGGTTGGGGTTAGGAATGGCCATGGAACTGCCCACCACTGCAGCTGCCGCCACCCCGGCCCGCCACCTGAGACCACCACCCGCCAGGACAGCGGGGCTGCTGCTCCTCCCACTCCTGGGGGGGTTCTGGCGGCACAGCAAGAGGAGGCCGTTGAGGCAGCAGAGGAGGGCCGTGCAGGGCACCAGCAGGCTCGCCAGGAGGCGCAAAGTGGCCTGCAGTTCCGCTGGCTCCATTCCGTGCTGCCACGAGACCAGGCAGAGAGGGGAGGGGAGAGGCGGAGGTGGGCACGTGCTCCCTGCCGTCACCTCGAGGCCTCAGTCCATGGGCTGGTTGGGCTTTGCAGGGGCGGGGGCGGTGCAGTTTGGCGGCGGGCTCAAGGCGAATGCCTACTGAGTGAGCCGGACCTGACCCTGGCCACCACCGCCTCTTGGGTTGGGGAGTAAGAAACTCTTGTCCTCCCGCTGACCCCCGCAGCCGTGGAGCAAGGGGGGGCAGCCAAGGCCCGAAGCCTCCCTGGCACCTGAAAGCAACTTCGCAGCAAGCAAAGCGGTGGTTTCCGGAGAAGGAGGAGAAGCCCGCGGGGGAAGGGGAAGCGAGTCCCCCCCCCCCTTCTTCCTCCCGCCCGCACTGGGGTGGGAATGGGCAGCCCCCTCGCCCGCCTGCCCCCTGCAGACCTTGACCCGTGCCTTCAGGCTGCCACCTTGAAGCCCGCTCGGCAGTCCGCGCCCAGCAATGCCTGGCCTCTCTGCCCAGCGGCGGTTGCTGCTGCTGCTGCTGCTCCTGGAAGCGCTGGGGGCCTCCTGGGGAAGCCCGGTGACTTGGCCCGCAGCCGCCACCCACCCCAGCCTGCAAAGGGCCTCTGAGCGCGTGCAGAGCACTTCCTACTGAGTTGGGCTGATGGGGAGACGGAGGGCAAAGGAGCGGGGTGGGCATGTAGGGCGGGTTCGCAGGCCCCAGAGATCGCGCTCCCCACTCACCCCCACCCCCCGCTTTTGCCGCCGGGACAGGGTAAAACCCGGAACGACCTGGTGTGGTGCACTTCCTTCGCCCCTCCCAAGCCAGATTCGAAGGGGCTCTGAGCGATGTAAGCTGGGGGAGGGGGGGGGGCGACTGGCGCCGGAGCTCTGGTCCGGGAGAGCCAGATGGAGAGCCTTCGCGGCCTCCTCCTCCTATCCCACCCCGGCAGGCAGAGGGCTTTTTTTGGGGGGGGGGAGCCCAGAATGGGGGGGGGGAGAGGAGGAGAATCGCTCGCTCACAACTTTAATGCCAGTAGCTGCTCACAAAGCAGGATTTTTGCTCACAAGACTCCACAGCTTAGAGGGAGCATTGTGTGGGAGGGGGAAGAGGGCTCTTCAGTCGACCCCCTATGAGAGCGCTCCCCCCCCCCCCCCACGAGCATTACTCACAAGAAGACTCCACAGCTTAGAGGGAGGCGCATTGGTGGGGAGGGGGCGTGGCACTCCCGCGGCCCGCCCCAAGACCTTCCCCCTGTGGACGGACTTCCTTTTAAGCCCGGTAAATGATCTATGGCTCCGAGGGGGCATCTGGCACAACTAAGCATCTCTTTGTCACTGACTGACCCGATGGAGTTGGCCCGCTTGCCGGGAGGGAGGGAGGGAGGGAGGGAGGGGCTCTCCCTGTACAGACCGAAACGGGTATGACGCAAAAAAAGAGGGGGGGGCGCGCCACAAGGTAGCCTCGCCTAGTGCGCAGGAAACCCTTGGGCTGCCCCTGGGTACTATTGTACATTTAATGCTCGTTCCGGGCCCTTCGGGCTTTTACCCTGTCCCCCCCCCAAAAACGGTGAGCTCCCTCACACTAACTCAACTCAGGGGGAAGCCTGCGTGTGACATTCCACTTTGGGGAAGCAGGGAGGAGGAGGTTAGAGAGGCGGGCGTGTCCGATGCAGTCCTAAAACCGCTTCCACGGAGCAGCCCCCGCTGAGCGCTGAAGAGGGCGCCGCTGAGTGCAGCGAGGCTGAACTCCTGTCCGCCGGGTCCTTATCTGTCCTTCCCTGCATCTGCGGCACTGAGAGGGTGAAGGGGACAGAGCTGTTGTTCCTAGGGAGGCCGAGGAAGGCGGGGTGGGTGGGGGTGGGGATGCGGGTCTTTTCCGGTGGGGAGCGGAGGGCTTGCATCCGAATTGCAAAAGGGGCCACTGGGGATGGGACGCCGACATGCAGCTGCAGGGGGAAGCCCCGCCGCCGGATCCTGGGAAGGTTTACTCGCAAGTAAGTGGGGGGCGGGCCAGATGAGCTTTTCAACCGGGAGAGAGAGGCGCGCGGCTAGCGTGTGTGGGGGTGTTTGTGTGTGGGGGGGGGGAGGATCGTCCAATGGGGCTTCCTCCTTGCCTGTGTTTCAATTGGTCAGCCACCAAGTTTGTGGTTCATCGGGTGGCCCTTCTTGTGGGCTCAGAAAGGGCGAGGGGGCTGGGTTTTGTAGACAAGTATCAATAAAAGCAAGTGCATCCTCAGCCGTGGTGGTCCCCGGGAGGCCCGGAAAGGAGCGCCACCCGCGATCACGGTGGGCGGGATCCTTCTGCGCCGACCAGCTGCTGCGATGCGCCCCGCATTTTGGCCACGGGGCTCCCCCATCCGCCGTTTCCTTCGCTCCCTCTCCCTGCTGCTGTGGATCCCGGCATCCCTCTGCCCCTACCCCGGAGAGGCCTGGCCCTCTTCTGCCCCCTCACCCCTCTCCTCTCCTTGCTGATTGGACAGTTTGGGATGTCAGCGCAAAAACCCTGAGGATATAATATAAGGATCCCATGGTGGCGCCACAAACTGATGGGTGCGTGATTCTTGTGGTGCTGGTTGCACCCATCTCCAAAAGGGGGGGAGGGGGAAGAAGAAGAAGAAGAAAAAGAGGCGGAGGAGATGGGATTTATACCTGCCCTTCACTACCCAAAGGCCTCTCAGAGCGGCTTACAATCCCCAGGACAGACACCCTGTGAGGCAGGTCGGGCTGAGGGAGCTCTCTCAATAACTGCTCCTGAGAGAACAGCTCTGAGAGAACTTGTAACTGACCCAAGATCACACCAGGGCAGGGTGTAAATCCAATCTCCTCTTCTTATTCTTTTAGACAAAATACCATAGGCGTAAATGAAAAACGTGGGGGAAATGAACATTCGGCACTTTACGAAGAAACACTGAATACGTAATCTAGACGTTTAATGTTGCCCTGAACAGGTACCCTTTCATTTCCTACACATCTGTACAAAGGGATACACTCGGGGTCTGTGAAGGTAGGAGAAGAACCCTTCCGCTCAGCCTCTCCACGGGGGTACAGTTTTCCTTTGCCCTGCTGCTTTACAGGGACCCTGTGGTTTGCTCGGTCCCAAAGGGCCCCCAGGAATCGCAGGCCCACCCGTAAATCCCGGGCAGGGGATCTCCCAGAGCTGCAGCCCCCTAGTTCTGCCACAAACCACCCCGTCTCTCTGTCCACGTCTTGGCAGGGTGTGTGGTATGGCCAGAGGGGAATCTGGTGAGTATCTGTGTCATATGGCGGGGGCAGGAAAGGGAAAGGTTGGGCTGCCAGACTTGTGATTTTTCATTATCCTAGTCAAAGAGGTTTCTGCATTGTGGAAACAAAGCCACTGAAGGAATGAGTTCCTGGTGCACTGATCTCTTTCGGCCGGAAGGTGGGAGGGGCAGAGGTACCAGGCAAAGTGGAATCCGCTTCATCAGGGCAGGGGAGAGATGCTCTGTGGTCGGAAGTCAGCCCCTGCTGGACTCTGCATCCCCCCTGTCATGGGGAAGAGTGATGGACTCTAATCCGGAAAGCCGGGTCTGATTCCCCACTCCTCTGCTGCTGGGCGACCTTGGTCCAGTCCCAGTTCTCCAAAAGCTCTCTCAGCCCCACCTACCTCACAATGTTGTCTGTTGAGGGGAGGGTAAAGGAAGGGGACTAAGCCACATGGAGACGCCTCCTGGGGAGGGGAATTCCTGAGGGAGGGTGTGTGTGTGAGAGAGTGTGAGAATGGCTCTATTGTAGCAGCAATGTAACTCTTCCGAAGATACCTCTTTATGCTGGGATGACCTTGAAACACTGACTGTGCCTGCTTCGCTGTCATAGATAACATAACGCTATATTGACAGGTGGGGGGTTAGAGCACACAAAAGCTAGGCGGGATGATTGTGGGGTGTGATTGGATGGAACCCGGGGAGGGGGGGGATTGCTTGAACTGTCTATTGTAGGACAGCAGTGCAGATGGATTCTCCTGCCTGGAGATTGGAAACCCGAAAGTATTTGTGTGCTAACAGCATGAGAAGTCTGGTGATTACCTAAGCAGTGAGTGTGACCGTGGCAGAGATGACGGAGAGCGCGCACACACACGCACACACACACACACACACATTCCAAAAGGATGCTCGGATGCTTGAAACTTTCCTCTACGCAGGAAGAAGGAGAGAGAGAGGAGGGGGAGGGAAATGGGGGAAACTGAGGTTATAAATAAACACTAGGAAGCCGAAAGGTTTCAATCAGTTCCTGCAGCTGTTTGTGTACTGTCGTCTTTGCATCGCGTGCACCCCTGCACCCCCACACCCCAAGAAGTGACACCACAGTCTATAACTGTGCGTTTTGGCGCCAGAACCTGACACGGTACTGGTCTTAGCTTGGAACATCTTTATTCCTCAATAAACAAATCACTATGAGAGAGTGTTGTTGAGAATAACTTTGTCCAAGAGTCTGACACTCTGGTGGTGGGCGCACAGCGGCTTCTGACCTGACCCAGTGATGGGTCAGAGAATGTCATCCAGAGACAAGTTCCCAGACGGTGGCCCTGGCCGAAGGTATCCTCCTGAGTCAGACAGAGGAGATGAGGCAGGCAGAACAGGTGAGGGGGTTTCCTCCAGGTATGTTCAATTCAAGGAACAATATTGGGTCTTATCCTGAAGTTTCCCTGCCGGAGAATTGCCCAGGTTTTAATCATCCAAGTGGGAGATTTCATGGCCTCCTTGAGCAGCCTCTTCTATTAGAGAATTTCTGATTCTTCCGGATAAGTCAGCAGGTCAGTTGATGAGTGGGGCAGGATCCATTCCTCGGTCTCTGTTCCATTCCATCTCTTACCCCTCTTCGTCGCTGCAGTTTCAGATGTGGGGACCATCCCTGAAGATGGAAGCTACAATCCCTGATGCGGAAGGAGCTTCCTTGGAGCAAGGGCAGAGGGCGCAGGCCTTGGAGCGTGTCCAAGATCCCCTCTCCTTTGGTAAGGACCCAGGGTTCCGGGATGCAGTTGGGGCGCCCCGTAAATGTGTCAGGTAAAAGGTTCAGGTCAGAATAAAAATAAACAGTTCTACACACAACAAAAGACTTAGTTTGCTGCACTCGATGTCCACTAACTCTGATGCCTCCAAAATGAGATTGGCCAAGTTCCTGGAGGGCCATTTCTCCCATTGAGTAAAAAGTTCATATCTAACCTTCCTTTCATAAAAAGAAATCAAGTTCCAGGTTGGGGGGGGGGTAGACAAACCTCGGCTGAAGTATTCAGACTGGTGGATAAAGTGAGCCTCCACCTTCTGGGGCAGCATAAGATCCCTCGGGGCCCATAAGATGGGGGGAATTTGGCTTCTGTGCCTGTGCTTCAAGAGGCACCTGGCAGGATACAGTGGGAAAGAGGATGCTGGGGAGGGAATAGTGGGCTGTTGCCCGGCAACCCCAGCAGCTTTGGGTAGGTGCTTAGAGATCTGATGTCATGTTGATGTTTCATCTGGCTGAAAACCTTGTTGGGAGGTGAGCGTGCCAAGAGACACTCTGAAAACTCAGTCATATGACCCTCGAGTCTCCAGATGTGTTCAAGTCACATCTGGTCTGAATGTGATGGTGACGTGTCATGCGATGTCTTCCCCTCCCCGCAGAGCAAACACAACTCTCACAGAAGTCTGAAATCTATTGGCCACATTTATAATCCCAGAGGCTCATGGGTACCTGGTGATTCTCTTCTGCCTCTCCCAGAATTCAGTCAAAATTGTTTAAAAATGTGTTGAGTGTACACAGGGAAGGGGTTGTGTGAAGCAGGGAACAAGCAAGCCAACACCTTTCCTTCCTCCTTTGTCTCACAAACAGGCAGTGAAGAGATGCTGTTGAGACGTCGTCTTTTCAGAGGTCTGGAAACGGCAGCCATACCTCCAGTCCAGGTGGGAGAGATGAGTGGTACAGTATTCCCCTTGAGTTCTTTTCTTGGTTGGTTGGAGACAGGCAAGGGAGTGAGTGACTCAACAGACAGAGACCAGAGCTCTCAAACAAAATCAGGTTCTTTACAAATATCAGCTTCCTAAGGACAGAAAGCACTTTAGCACTTACATGTCTTTTAGGATAAGAACATAACATTCCATATACAGCATAGGATATTTCAGTACAAACCTAGTGCACTCGTGTGAAATACAGGGCGCCCTGGTCTAGTCCACAAGAGCTCACAGAGAGCTGATTGGAGACCAGCCCAGAGCAAAGAAGTATTTCAACCATTTATACCTTCAGTACCCAAAGTTCAGCCCACATAGAGTTACACACTTTTAGCAGAAGAATATCAAAATAAAAAGAACAAGAGTCACCTTGAACTCATACCCACGTTACCCGAGAGAGTCAAGGATCTTAGGTATAAACTTTATCGTGGCCTTATCGGAAGCCCAGACACCTGCTTCAGCAAGTATGTTGCACGTCAGAAGCTATGAACCTTCTCACAAGGAGTCTCTGACACAGTATGAGGGTGAAAGGGTAGACCTAGAGAAATGAAAACTGTTCTTCTCGGAGCAGAGCGCCTTGTCAGGCTAGAGAGAGGCTTGAGGGATGACAGTCGCTGAGCCTCTAAAGTTTTTTTTTTAAAGCCCCCGGAGGGGATTTTAATTTTTTTTTATACTACTACACGAACTGCACAGAAAAAAAAGGGGGGGGGAGTACAACTAGGGAGAAAGAAAAGTAACTCACACTGTACTCTAAAAGCCTGTAAAGTCTTATGGGAGAGGAACCAAGCAGAGAGGCCTCCGCTAATCCAGGCTGTTATAGAGAAATGCCCCCAGGCCCGCTTATTTTTCTGCCACAATGAGATGAGCAGGGGACAGCCGGGGTCCCTCTTCCTTTCTCTGGGGAGCAGTTCCTCCTGCAGTTTCTACAAGGTGTCTGGGCGAGAGATCCTCTGATCGCTATTCCCTTTGCCCAGCTCAAGAGCCATTTTGGTGTAGTGGTTAAGTGCGCAGACTCTAATCTGGGAGGACCACTCCTCCACTTACAGCTGCTGGATGACCTTGTCAAGTCATAGTTCTTTCAGAGCTGTTCTCTCAAGGACAGTTCAGGAAAGAGCTCTCTCAGCCCCACCTACCTCACAGGGTGTCTGTTGTGGGGAGGGGAACGGAAAGGAGCTTGTAAGCCGCTCTGAGACTCCGAGTGAAGGGCGGGGTATAAATCCAATCTCTTCTTCTTAAACCATACACCCAGTACCTTCCCAGTCTACTCCCTTCCAGTGTGCAATCTCTGCCTGGCGCAGTCTCTGATGAGGGAATCTGCTTTTCCTTTCAGGGTCCCTTTTCCTTTGAGGAGGTGTCCGTCGATTTCACTGAGGCAGAGTGGGCCCTGCTGGATCCGGGGCAAAGAGCTCTGTACAGGGAAGTCATGCTGGAGAACTATAGGAATGTGGCCTTTCTGGGTAAGGATCTTACCTTGGTGCCAAAGGTGCAAATTGCTGCCCTTGTGAGGTGGCTTGAATCAAAACATTGATTAGTTATTCACAGTTTTGAGGCCTGTCCTGCTACTTGGGGGAGGGGTGCTATGGCTCCCTGGCAGAGCATCTGCTTGGCATGTAGAAGGTCCCAGGTTCAATCCCCAGCATTTCCAGTTGGAGGGAATGTGAAAGACCTCTGCCTGAAACCCTGGAGAGCTGATGCCGGACTGAGTGGGCAACACTGGCTTCAGTAGAAGGCAGCTTCCTGTGTTCCTGGGTGTGTTCTTGCCCATGCGCAACAGAGGGCAGTGTTGTGGCCGTCACCCAAGCCAGAGAAGGTGTCCTGGCCTGAGGCAAAGGTGGGGATGAGAGACCCTCAGAAGGACTCTGGAAGGGGCCGGATCCTCATTTCTCTGTTGCCATCCTTTACACCAGACCCTTCCCCCCTGAAAGAGATTACAGACATCCGCTCTGAAATATATTGGCGGCATTTATAATCCCTGAGGCTCATGGGTACCATGTGTGTCCCTTCTGCTTCTTCCTGAATTCAGTCAAAAGTGTTTAAAAATGTGTTGAGTGTGCACAGGAAAGGGGTTGTGAAGCAGAAAACAAACAAGGCAACACCCTTCCTTCCTCCTTTGTCTCAGGAACAGGCAGTGAAGAGATGCTGTTGAGCCTTCATCTTTTCAGAGGTGTGGAAACGGCTGCCGTAACTCCAGTCCAGGTAGGAGAGAGGAGTGTTCAGGTATTCTGGGACCCCGGGACTATTTGGGAGGAGACTGGCAAGGGAGTGACTGAATCAACAGAGAGAGACCAGAGTACTCAAACAAAAACAGGTTATTTACAGGATAAGCTTCCGGAGGACAGAATGCACTTTAGCACTTACATATCTATTAGGATAAAAACATAATATTTCCATATTCAGCATAGGAGGAGGAGGACAGGAGGAGATTGCATTTATACCCCGCCCTTCACTCGGAGTCTCAGAGCGCTTTACAAACTCCTTTCCCTTCCCCTCCGCACAAAAGACACCTGTAAGCTGAAAAGTCTTGTGAGCAAAAATTCTACTGGCATTAAAGTACTGGCTACTGGATAAATTAGTTTGCTCCGGCACCATCATCCTAAACTAAGACAAAACTGTGTGAGCTGGAGGCTAAAACACTGTGAGCTAGCTCACACTAACTCAGCTTAGAGGGAACACTGCTAGTTAGGTAGGTGGGGCTGAGGGAGCTCTTTCCAGTGCTGTCCTTGAGAGAACAGCTCTGACAGAACTATACCTTGCCCAAGGTAACCCAGCATCTGTAAGTGGAGGATTGGGGAATCCAACCCGGTTCTCACAGGTAAGAGTCCGCACACTTAACCACTGCACCAGCCTGGCTTCAATACAAACATAGTGCACTCGTGTGAAATACAGAGCGCCCTGGTCTAATCAACAAGAGCTCACAGAGAGCTGATTGGAGAACAGCCCAGAGCAAAGAAGTATTTCAACCATTTATACTCTCAGTACCCAAAGTTCAGCCCACATGGAGTAACACACTTTTAGCAGAAGAATATCAAAATAAAAAGAACAAGAGTCACCTTGAACTCATACCCACATTACCCGAGAGAGTCAAGCATGTGATGTATAAACTTTATCGTGGCCTTATCGGAAGCCCAGACACCTGCTTCAGCAAGTATGTTGCACGTCAGAAGCTACAAACCTTCTCACGAGGAGTCTGTGACACAGTATGAGGGTGAGATGGTAGACCTAGAGAAATGAAAACTATTCTTCTCGGAGCAGAGCGCCTAGTCAGGCTAGCGAGAGGCTTGAGGGATGACAATCGCTGAGCCTGCAAAGTCTTATGGAAGCAAACAGAGAGGCCTCAGCGAATCCCGGCTGTTATAGAGAAATGCCCCCAGGCATGCTGATTTTTCTGCCACAATGAGGTGAGCAGGAGACAGCCGGGGTCCCTCTTCCTTTCTCGGGGGAGCCGTTCCTCCTGCAGTTCCTTCAAGGTGTCTGGGCGAGAGTTTCCTCTGAACGCTGTTCCCTTTACCCTGCTCAAGAGCCAGTTTGGTGTAGTGGTTAAGTCTGCGGACTCTAATCTGGGAGAATCAGATTTGATTCAACCTCTCTTCCACTTACAGCTGTTGGATGACCTTGGGCAAGCCATAGTTCTGTCAAAGAAGGACAGTAATGGAAAACGTTTTCTCAGCCCCACCTACCTCACAGGGTGTCCATTGTTTTGAGAAGAAGGGAAAGGAGTTTGTAAGCCGCTCTGAGACTTTGAGAGAAGGGTGGGGTATAAATCCAAACTCTTCTTCTTCTCAAGGCATACCTTCCCAGTCTACTCCCTTCTGTCATGGCCTCTGAGGAGGGAACCTGCTTTTTCCTTCAGGGTCCCTTTTCCTTTGAGGAGGTCTCCATCGATTTCACGGAGGCAGAATGGGCCCTGCTGGATCCGGGACAAAGAGCTCTGTACAGGGAAGTCTTGCTGGAGAACTATAGGAATGTGGCCTTTCTGGGTAAGTATCTTTCCTTGGTGCCAAAGGTGCAAATTGTTGCCATTGTGAGGAGGCATGAACTAAAATATTGAATAGCTACTCACAATTTTGACGCCTCTTCTGCTGTTTGGGGGTGGGTGGGCTCTGTGGCTCCCTGGCAGCACGTCTGCTTGGCATGTAGAAGGTCCCAGGTTCAGTCCCAGCATTTCCAGTAAAAAGGATCTGGTCGAAGGTGATGTGAATGACTAGGGTCTGTCTCCAAGGGTCAGGTGGTCCTAATGACCCAACCGAGGTTCCTCCTTGATGAAACTTTTCAGAGGCTGTCAGCACCCTCCAAATCCCCCCCACCCTCCTGTTTACACAACTGGATACAGGTTCTCATAGTTAACCACTTACTGTGAACCAGTGACTTCATTCTTGAGTCCAGCCTTGAAAGAACATAAGAACATAAGAGACGCCGGCTTCCGGTCGGGTTAAAATGACAAATTAACGCATCCCATGAATGTGCTGGGTGGTCGACGGGTCCTTCTGACAGTTTGGGCTGATTCTAGCCCAACGCAGCAGCCCCCAGAGAGGGGGGCTGACAAGCAAGCAGCAGTGCCCAAGCGGGAGTTGAGATCGGCGTTATTAAGTCTTGGAGGAGGCTTGTGTCATGCTTTGAACTCCTTCCACGAAGCAGGCGAATGCGAAAGTACACTACAGGAGCCGATCGAGCTGGAATACCAGCATAAATCCGTCGTCACCCGATCTCTTGAGGGGAAAGAAGTGTGAGTTGGTGAAAAGAAGCAATGCAAAACCCAGTATAAACTTGCTAGATAACAAAGACGGTTTACTCACCGAGACCAAGCTGTAACGAGATTTGATCTTAGCAGATGAGCGTAAAAGAACTTTTAAATCCCGGTCGCTCATTTTTTGAAAAAAAAGGACATCGTTTTGACTAGTTAAAGTGGAAAATCTAATATTGTTGATCATTCCTGCGGTGAGGAGAAGATAAGGCTGTAGTCCGTAATCGAAACTGTCGGAAAGTATCGCGAGAGATGAGAGGCTGGTGTTACAGTGAAAAGAGGCTGACAGGAAATACGTGCATACAACGAGAGCCTAGAGAGGACTTGGAAGACCGGAAGTGCATCAGAAGAATAAAGGTGAAACACCAGAAGTCGGGAGGAGCGCAAAGACGGGAAGAGAACAGACAGCGATCAGCCTACTCTAGCCAGAAAACCATAGAGACATCGCGCCCGACATTTTGAGGAGGACTTAATATTTTTTTACTTTTTTAGAACCTTAATACAGGTAAAAAGAAAATGAAAATAAGGCGTTTCAAATAAGCGCACACAAAGGCTTTGGACAAAACAAGAATTTTTTGATTTTATAACTTTCAAGCCTTAAAACGGAATTAAGAAGGTTAAGAGCAGCGTCTACATCGAGTCCAAGGATGGCCGGAAAGGAAAAGGAGAAAAAGGAATGACAGGCAGCAGTCGAAGCAATGGAGAAGAGAATGACATAGGCGATCCAAGCATTGGGAAAACAGCTGGAGAAACAGATGGAAAAACAGACACAAAGACACCTGGAAGAACTAGAGGAAGTGCAAGAGAAAAATGTGGCAGCAATAAAAGATTTGGTGACAACTGAAATAGCGCTGGTTAAGCAGGAAATGGAAGAAGTCAAAAAAGAAGTGCAAGGTATGGCAACAAAGATGACAGAAATGGAGGAAAAAGTGCAGCAAACAGATAAGAAATGGGAATCAATGACTCAAGAACTTAGAAGAACAGAAGCTATGATGGAGTACAGATTGATGCAAAACCATTTAAGATTCAGAGGAATAGAGGAGAAGATGGGTGAGAACATAAGAGAAGTACTGACAAAGGCATTGACTAAATATTTGGAAGAAGATGAAGGGGAGATAGATTTTGCATTTGACTTAATATACAGAGTAAATTCAAGAATAGCGGAGAAGAGGAATTTACCAAGAGATGTAATTGTGCAGTTTGTGACCAGGAACATGAGAGAAGACATCTTCAAGAGACAATTTACACAACCATTTGAGATTGAAGGAAAGAGAATAATGATATTGAGAGAACTCCCAAGAGCAATTTTACAAGACAGAAGGAAGTACAGAAAATTAGCAGACAAGTTAAAACAACTCAACATCAGGTTTCGATGGGAAATACCACAAGGACTCTCCTTCGACTATAAAGGTGGACGACATGTTATTAAATCGGTGGAAGATTTTTATAGATTTAAGGCGGACAATATAGAAGAGCTTGGAGAACTATAAAGTAAGCACTATGGATTACAAATTTTTATCTTGGAATGTGAATGGACTTAATTCGCCTAATAAGAGAAAAAGAGTTAAACACTGGATAGAAAAACAAAAATGCAACATAATTTGTCTACAAGAAACCCACATTAGAAAACAGGACTTTAAATTCTTGATAAACGAAAAAAATGGAGAAGAATTTTATTCTCTGGCTTCCAAAAAGAAGAAAGGCATAGTTATCTATGTTAAAGAAGAACTACAACTGAAAGAAATCATTAAAGATTCAGAGGGAAGATACTTGGGAGTGGAAATTACAATGCATCAAAAGAAAACTTTACTTGTTAATGTATATGCACCTAATGGAGCGAAAGAAAAATTATTTAAAGACTTGGCGGAACAGCTAGGACAAACAAACTATAAACAAACAATATTGGCAGAGGACTTCAATGGTACAGTGAATAACAAAATGGACAGGCAATCAAATAAATGTGATGAAAAGATTGGTAAATTGCCGAAAACTTTATTTGATTTGACAGAGCAAGAAAAATTAGAAGATGTCTGGAGAAAATGGAATCCGAATGGTAAAGACTTTACTTTTTATTCCAATAGACACAGTTCTTTTTCCAGGATTGATATGATTTGGATGACAGAAGAACTGGCATTGAAAACATTAAAAATTGAGATACTGCCAAGGAGTAACTCGGACCATAACCCGTTGATGTGGACGACCAAGGAAAAGAGTAAACAGTTTCAATGGAGAATAAATGAAGATTTGTTGGATAAGAAAGAAACAATGGATATACTATGCAAAGAAACTCAAAAAATTTTCCAGCAGAATTTGAACCAAGAGACTTCCATTCAAGTGGTATGGGACACATATAAAGCAGTAATGAGAGGGCTACTCATTTCACAAAATGTAAAACAGAAAAAAGAGAATTTCAAAAAACAAGCGGAGGTGTTAGATAAAATAAAGCAAAAAGAAAGCGAACTAAAGAAAAAACCTGGGAAAAAAAACGATACTTAAAGAGTTACAGTTGCTGAGAGAACAACTGAATTTGTCATTAAATCAGAAAATGTATTGGAATTTAAAAAGATTGCAACAAAAATCCTTTGAAGGAGCGAATAAACCAGGAAAGTTTTTGGCATGGCAACTGAAAAATAGAAGAGAAAGTAGAGTGATAAATAAAATAGTGGAAGAAGGAAAAGAATATGTGGATCCAAATGGAATAAAAAGGACTTTTTTCAAATACTATGCAAAGTTATTTCAAGGCAAAAAGATAGAATTGGAGAGAATTAGAAATTATATAGAAAACACATCGTTGCCAAAGATTCAAGATAAATTTAAAGACATTTTAAATGCAAGAATTCAGAAAGAAGAATTAATTAAAGCAATAGATGAAACCAAGATGGGAAAAGCACCAGGACCGGATGGATACACTGCAAAGTTTTACAAAAAGTTAAAAGAAGAACTGGTGCCGATTTTGGAATTTCTAACAAACGAGATAAGAGATACAAAAATAATACCTGAGACATGGAAAGAAGCTAACATATCGCTAATACCAAAAGAAGGTCAAGATCTAACTAATGTGAAGAATTACAGACCAATATCACTCCTGAACAACGACTACAAGATATTTGCTAAAGTAATAGCGGAGAGGGTGAAAAGTTATTTACAAAGTGTGATAACTGAAGAGCAAGCCGTTTTTTTGCCAAACAGACAAATCAGGGACAATTTAAGAATGGTGATGGACGCGATTGAATACTATGATAAACATCCGGAAAAAGAAGTAGCCTTTTTATTTGTAGATGCTGGAAAAGCCTTTGACAATTTAAATTGGGAATTTATGTTTCAAATGTTTGACAAAATGAAGATTGGGCAACCTTTTAAGAATATAATTGAAGCGATCTATTCAGATCAAAGGGAAAAATTGAATGTGAATAAAGAACTGACTGATCATTTCAAAGTACAAAAGGGGACAAGGCAAGGCTGCCCTCTTTCCCCACTTTTGTTTATTTGGGTTTTGGAAATTCTGTTGGGGAAAGTGAGGGAAGATAAAGAGATAAAAGGACTTAACCTTAAAGGCTACACATATAAGTACAGGGTGTTTGCAGACGATGTGATGTTTATAGTGGAAAATCCAAATGAGAACTTATTATTACTGATGCGAAGAATAAATGATTTTGGAGAACTGGCAGGATTTTACGTAAATAAGAATAAGACTAAAATGCTCTGCAAAAATATGACCAAAGAAAAGCAAAAGGATTTACAGGAACTGGTACAATGTGAGGTAGTGAAGAAAACAAGATATCTCGGAATTGAGCTGACGATGAAAAACTTTGATCTCTATAAAAATAACTATGAGAAGTTATGGATCAAGCTACTGCAAGACTTTAAGAAATGGGATAACATGAACTTATCTTTATTGGGAAGAATTTCAGTGGTTAAAATGAATGTTTTACCGCGTTTGATGTTTTTGTTTCAAACTATCCCAATATTGAAAGAAATTGATGTTTTGAATAAATGGAAGAGAGAAATATCAACATTTGTTTGCGCAGGAAGAAAACCAAGAATTAAGATGAAAATTTTATGTGATGCTAAAGAAAGAGGCGGTATGCAGTTACCAAATCTGAGATTATCCTATGAAGGAGTTTGCCTGACATGGCTAGAACAATGGATTAACTTAGGCAACAAAAAGCTATTAGCATTGGAAGGACATGATTGTAGGTTTGGATGGCATGCATATTTATGGTATGAAAAAACTAAAATGGACCAATTTTTAAAGCATCACTTTGTAAGAAGAGCTTTGTTTGGAGTCTGGACGAGATACAAAAAATATTTTTACGAAGCAAGACCATTGTGGATTGTACCAGCAGAAGTAATATCACCATATTCGAGACAAAGAGGAGAAGAATGGTTGCCATATAGGGACTTATTGAAGAAGGAAGGGTCGGATTGGGTTATAAAAGAGCAGGATGAGATATACTTTAAAAATGTTTGGTTGAATTATATACAGATTAGAAACTTGTTTAAGGCAGATAAGAAAAAGTATGGTTTTAGAAAAGAGAAAAATGAAATTGAATCTATATGGGATAATAGAGGGGAAAATGATTTCTAATGTGTATAAAATTCTGTTAAAATAGTTCACAGACGATGAGACAGTAAAAGAACAAATGATTAAATGGGCAGTTAATATGAATAAAGTGGTGACTATGTCATCTTGGGAATATCTGTGGAAAAATGCAATTAAGATATCAACCTGTACAAATGTTAAAGAAAATTGTTATTAAATGATGTACAGATGGTATATGACGCCTAAGAAAATTGCAAACATGAACCAAAATATGTCAAATAAGTGTTGGAAATGTAAGAAACATGAGGGCTCATTTTACCGTATGTGGTGGACTTGTGAAAAAGCTAGGGACTTTTGGACAGAAGTCCACAGTGAGATGCAGAAAATTTTAAAATGTACATTTAAGAAAGAACCAGAGATTCTCCTGTTGGGACTAAAAATGGAAGAGCTGAATGTTACAAAAAAGACCCTGTTATGGTATTTGATGACGACAGCGAGAATGGTATATGCACAATGCTGGAAGCAAGAAAAAATACCGGAAATAACAGACTGGATTCAAAAAGTGCTATTCATGGCTGAAATGGACAAAATAACGAGGAAATTAAATAACAAAGAAGATCAAGAATTTTCTGAAGAATGGAACGACTTTAAAGACTATTTGGAAAAAAACTGGGATGTAAAACAAAATTTACTGTGTTTAGATCATGTATCTGGGATATGAAAAAATAGATGTGAATACCAAAAATGAAAAATGTAGGAGGGAAGGAGGGTAGAGCATTGCAGGAAGCCACTTTGAGGGGAGGGGAGGTAAGGGATCATGGATATTTGCAAATGGAAAGTAAATGTTGAACATGTTGTTATATCCAAAAAAATATATATATATTTTTTAAAAAAAGAACATAAGAGACACCAATGTTGGATCAGGCCAAAGGCCCATCCAGTCCAACACTCTGTGTCACACAGTGGCCAGACATACCAGTGCCATCAGGAGGTACACCAGTGGGGCCAGGACATTAGAAGCACTCCCACTGTTGACCCCCCCCAAAGCACCAAGAAGACAGGGCCCCTATCTATACCTTGTGGCTAATAGCCACTGATGGACCTCTGCTCCATATGCTTATCTAATTCCCTTTTGAAGCCGTCCATGCTTGTAGCCACCACCACTTCCTGTGGCAGTGAATTCCATGTGTTAATCACTCTTTGGGTGAAGAAGTACTTCCTTTTATCCGTTCTAACCCGACCGCTCAGCAGTTTCATGGAGTGCCCATGAGTTCTTGTATTGTGAGAAAGGGAGAAAAGTACCTCTTTCTCTACCTGCTCTTTCCCATGCATAATCTTATAAACCTCAATCATGTCACCCCTCAGTCGTCGTTTCTCCAAGCTAAAGAGCCCTAAGCGCCTTAACCGTTCCTCATAGGGAAAGTGTTCCAACCCCTTTATCATTCGAGTTGCCCTTTTCTGCACTTTTTCCAAAGCTATAATATCCTTTTTAAGGTGTGGTGACCAGAACTGCACACAGTATTCCAAATGAGGTCTCACCATTGATTTATATAGGGGCATTATGATATTGGCTGATCTGTTTTCAATACCCTTCCTAATAATCCCCAGCATAGCATTGGCCTTCTTTATTGCAGTCACACACTGTCTCGACATTTTCAGTGAGTTATCCACTACAACTCCAAGATCTCTCTCTTGCTCAGTCTCTGCCAGTTCAGACCCCATCAATGTGTATTTATATTTAGGATTTTTGGCTCCAATGTGCATCACCTTGCACTTGGCCACATTGAACCCCATTTGCCATGTTGACGCCCACTCGCCCATCCTTGACAGATCCCCTTGGAGTGCCTCACAATCCTCACTGGTTTTCACCACCCTGAACAACTTTGTATCATCCGCAAATTTAGCCACTTCACTGCTTACTCCCATCTCCAAATCATTAATGAACAAGTTAAAAAGCAGTGGACCAAGTACTGATCCCTGCGGTACCCCACTGCTTACCACCCTCCACTGAGAAAATTGCCCACCTACACTCACTCTCTGTTTTCTATGAACTAGCCAGTTTTTGATCCATAAAAGGACTTGTCCTTCTATCCCATGATTTTTGAGCTTACTTAGGAGCCTTTGATGAGGAACTTTATCAAAAGCTTTCTGGAAGTCAAGGTAAATAATATCTATTGGATCCCCCTTGTCCACATGTTTGTTCACCCCCTCAAAGAACACTAACAGGTTAGTGAGACAAGATCTTCCCTTACAGAAACCGTGCTGAGTCTGCCTCAATAGGTTTTGTTCATCTATGTGCCTACTAATTCTTTCCTTAATAATGGTTTCCACCAATTTACCCGGTATCGACGTCAGACTGACTGGCCTGTAATTTCCCGGATCTCCTCTGGAACCCTTTTTAAAGATGGGAGTGACATTTGCTACCTTCCAATCCTCAGGAATGGAGGCAGATTTTAAGGAAAGATTACATATCTTTGTCAGGAGATCTACAAGTTCACATTTGAGTTCTTTCAGAACTCTCGGATGTATGCCATCTGGGCCTGGTGATTTTTCAGTTTTTAAGTTGTCTATCAGTTTTAGGACCTCCTCTCTCGTCACCTCAATCTGACTCAGGTCTTTCAACACCCCTCCTGAAATCAGTGGTTCTGGAGTGGGCAAGCACTTCTCATCTTCCACAGTGAAGACGGAGGCAAAGAATGCATTTAGCTTCTCAGCCATTTCCCTATCATCCTTCAATACTCCTTTTACCCCTTGGTCGTCCAAGGGCCCCACTGCCTCCCTGGCTGGTTTCCTGTTTCTAATGTATTTGAAGAAAGTTTTATTGTTGGTCTTTACGTTTTTTGCTATATGCTCCTCATATTCCCTTTTTGCCTGCCTGACCACAGACTTGCATTTTATTTGCCATAGCCTGTGTTCCGTTTTATCAGCCTCACTGTGACTAGCTTTCCACTGCTTAAAGGAATTCTTTTTACTTTTTTTTGTGTTTTATATTTTTATTGAGTTTTATAAGCCTATATTGTGCACACTAATCCCATCAGCAGCAAGTTACATATCTTTCCATTCCATAACTTTCCATACATTATGTCCCTGATATACATCACTGAAAAATATTGCCATTATTCCTTCAATATTTGACTTTCCTTAGTTCCATGTATGACCAAACATTACTAGTCTATGCTGACTAATCTTCTATACTTCTGTTGCCATTTGGAATTACATACATATCAAAACAAAATTACAGTACCTATCCTAGACTCTTTCAAGCTCTAGTTTCTCTCCTGGCCCTGTTCCTTATAGTTCTATGTGTTCAATATAGCGGTTTAAATTCATGATTAATACTTTACTATATTGTACTTGCATAATTATCGGTTAGAGTTTTATTTTCTTAATATTTTATTTAACACTTTTTTAATTATAGTTCATTCTTTCTAAATATTACTTTCCTTTGAATTTCTCATCGACACCTCAGTAACATCTCCCTATGGCTGATCTTCCAAGTACCTTACCTTTAACAAATAACCATATTACCTCTAATTTTCTTCAGACCCATATGTTTACTTCTAATCTCCTAATTTGTGTATTACCAACTACTTCCAAATCCAATAAATAAATAAATATGAATACCAAGATATATACCAAACTATCATTTCAGCTTCCCGTACAATTTCTTCTAATCAGTTTTCTATTTGTATAATTAATATCAACTACCCAACCCATATTTCCATTTTATCAATTTTAAACCCATTCTATTCATTGAGTCATTCATTCACCCATTTTCCATTAACATTCTCCCCTAAAATTTTCAGATCAAATTCCCCTAATTTTTTTTTGGTCAAATTCATAAATAATTTACTATAAATACTATCATAAATATGCATCATAAATATACATCCAACATTTCAATTATCCCTTAATCCAAGTAGCTGTATTCATTTTCTAGTTTCATGATTTTACATATACTCTCACTACATATTCATACTTATCGTCAGATACAAACCCCCAATTCTTTAAATCAAACATAAACCCCCTAATCATATAAACATAAACCCCTTGATCAAATTCATAAATATTTTAATATTATCTTACTAAGAATCCATATATTATTTCATAAACCTATAGCTACAAATCTTTAAACTCTCCAAATTAATAGTTTTCATCCCAACATATCAGATCACAAATCCCATTCACATTATTCCACTCTACTACATTTTTACCCCTTATCTTAAATCCCAGTTCCAATCACTTCTAACTATTCCTCTTAATAGGTATATAATTTTAGGTATAAGTACAAAAAACAAGACCATCACATTTCAAGTCAGCCATCGAAATACATCAAAATACACAGTTTTAAGTGTCTTCATCAAATCTTCTACTCATACTTCAATAATTAATTTGTCAAGCTTCCAAGTCTATCCATAGAGGTGGGAGGGAGGGCACAGAGTTTTTTCAAATCGTTTTCTTTTTCTTCTGAGCATTTGCAGTTTATTTTTCCTCCTCAACATATCCCCATGCCTTCTTTCCTTTAACGTTCTTTTTCTTCCTGGTCCCTCTCCTTTGCCTTTCACTACTTCTGTAATCCTGAATCCTTTGATCCTTTTAAATGTCCTCAACCGTTGTTTATCCCTTCTAGTCTTTTTATTATTCCCACGCTCAATCTGTAAATAATGGTTATTTTCTTTTAGGGAAACTGTTTTAAGTTCTAGTTGTTTCTCTTTACATTCAGTTCCAACTTTTATCGATTCCACCTCCTCCTCCAATCTTCCTTCATCACCACTGTCCAGATTCTCTATCAATTTCTCCTCCTCATGACTCTCTTTCATTTTTGTTAATTCCTGCTTTTCCCCTCTTTCTGCCTGCAAACCATACTGCTTTCTTATTTCCGTTCTCACTTCCGTGCATGCTTTCTGGCAGCCCCTCCACACCGCTTCTCTTATTTCTCTAAGAAATTTCTCCATTTCAGTCTCACCACTTTCCAGTCCTTCTTTCCATTCCTCCCCGTTTCTTTCAATCTGCTCCATCTCCCTTTAAACTCCGTACCTCACACAACTATCTTTTTCCACAAGTCTTTCAGCCCACAAACAAGCCAAGCCAATACTATATTGAATTCTACTCCGCTCGTCTTCCCTCTTCAAATCATTGTTTATAGTTCAGTCCTTTCCTTCTCCCAGCCACTTTACTTTCCTGTTTTGGACGCCGCCGCTTGGAGGTCTACTGCCGCTGTTTTTACTGTCAATATTTCTTCCCTTATATCCATTTTCCACTTCAGCCAACAACTTTTTTATATCCGTACTTGCTGCCTTCGTGTTTCACAGTAACAAATATTTAGTCTTTAAAAGCAAACGCGGATGGTCGCGTTTAAAGCATGGCTGGCGGCCATGTTCTCCGTATATTTGCCTCGGCATCGGAGCTGTAACTGGACACCCCCCACCTTGCCAAGAGCGGGGCCCCCAGAAAAAAGCGCCCCCTGCACTAGCTCCCCACACCCGGAAGCTGGTCTCGCCCCCCCCTGACAAGCAGGGGGGGTCTGAACAAGGCAAATTGGTTCGTGCGGGGATGGAGCTCCTCACGCTCCCATCCGCTTGCTAACGCGCCGTACCGGAAGTCCCCGAATTCTTTTTACTTTTTACAGCTTCCATTACTCTTTGCTTGTTAACCATGCAGGCTTTTTCCTATACCTGTTTGTGCCTTTCCTAACCTGGGGGATATATATATATTTTGAGCTTTTAGGATCGTAGTTTTAAATAGTTTCCAAGCTTCCCCAATGGTTTTGACCCTTTCTACTTTTCCTTTCAGTTTCCTCCCCACGTGTCCCCTCATATCAGAGAAATTACCCCTTTTAAAGTTAAAAGTGGTTGTGTGAGTCTTTTTGGCCAATTCTCTATTTGTACAAATGTTGAACTCAACAACATTATGATCACTGTTCCCAAGCGGTGCAATCACTTTTACATCTCTCACCAGGTCTTGAGTGTTACTTAGGACCAAATCAAGGATCGCCTCTCCCCTGGTAGGTTCCGTGACCATCTGCTCCATAGCACAGTCATTTAGAGTGTCTAGAAACTCAATCTCTTTTTCCCGACTAGAACACATATTGACCCAATCAATGTGTGGGTAGTTAAAATCACCTATTATTACACAGTGTTTTTGTCTAGTTGCTATCTTTAAGGCATTCATCATTTTATAATCCTCCTCTATCTTTTGATCTGGTGGGCGATAACAAACTCCCAGTGTTAAGTTTCCTTTTGGCCCCCCTATTTCAACCCACAGAACTTCCAGAAGCGAATCCAATTCACTTAGCCTCTCAATCTTTCTAGACTGTATACCCTCTCTGACATACAGAGCCACCCCACCTCCAACCCTTCCCCCCCCCATCCTTCTGATATAATATATAACCGGGAATCACCATGTCCCACTGATTTTCCTCATCCCACCAAGTTTCTGAAATACCCACAATGTCTATTTTTCCCTCCGACACCAAGCACTCCAACTCCCCCATTTTACCTCGGACACTTTTAGCATTTGTATAGAAACAGCTGTAATTTCCCTTACAAGTTAAGCCTGCAACCTTCCTCTTGCTATCTCGAGACCTTGTCAGGCAGTCCATGTCACTAGCCATGGCCTCTGTGAACAATTTCAAGCTACCTCCCTGTAGAAAAGCAACAGGTACCCCCTCATCTCTCTGAGATGAGCCAACCCGAACCAGAGACTTTTCATCTCCTGTCGGCTTTCCCCCAATATTCAGTTTAAAAACTGCTCTGCCACCTTTTTGATTTCAAGTGCCTGAAAGGAGGGAGGGCCTGAAATCGGGAGGCTTAAAAGGTCCTTCTGGGGAAGAGTTCAGCCATGGCTCTTGAGGGGGTGAGGTACCCTTAAATACTAGATATTCTGGGGAAAGGTGGAGGGGTGGTTCAGATCAGCCAAGCTGGACAAGGCCAAAGGGCCGTCAATCCTTATCTACTGCAGTCACATAGATGCCTTTGGACCTTACCAGCCCTCCCAGGTGCTAACAGGATCGCTCTGTTTTTTCCAGCAGAGGATGATCAGAGGAATCAGGAGGGTGAAGAACTTCATGAGCAAATGCCAGATAAAGTTAAAAATGAAGACTTGAAAGAAAATGTCAGCAATCAAGGCAGACCCATGAGAAAAAAAGTTGGTCATATGGTTGAGAAGAGAGATGGAAGACAGAATAATCTACATATTTTAAATCAAAGGATAATAAGGGCAAGAAAATCCATTTGGTGTAAAAAGTACTTCACAAACAGATCACAGCTCTTTGTACACCAAATAATACACAGAGTCAAGAAACCTTTTGAATGCTCAGAGTGTGGAAAGAGATTCAGTCACAGTGGCAATCTTCAGAAGCATCAAAGAACCCACACAGGGGAGAAACCTTTTGAATGCTCAGAGTGTGGAAAGGGATTCAGTCAGAGTGACGGTCTAAAACTGCATCGAAGAACCCACACAGGGGAGAAACCTTTTGAATGCTCAGAGTGTGGAAAGAGATTCTCTCAGAGTTCCAATCTTCTACTTCATCGAAGAACCCACACAGGGGAGAAACCTTTTGAATGCTCAGAGTGTGGAAAGAGATTCAGTCACAGTGGTGGTCTTCAAGTGCATCGAAGAACTCACACAGGGGAGAAACCTTTTGAATGCTCAGAGTGTGGAAAGAGATTCAGTCAAAGTGGCAGTCTTCAGAAACACCAGAGAACCCACACAGGGGAGAAACCTTTTGAATGCTCAGAGTGTGGAAGGAGATTCAATCAGAGAGGCCATCTTCAACAACATCGAAGAACCCACACAGGGGAAAAACCTTTTGAATGCTCACAGTGTGGAAAGAGATTCAGTGAAAGTGGTAGTGTTCGGATTCACAAAAGAACCCACACAGGGGAGAAACCTTTTGAATGCTCACAATGTGGAAAGAGATTCAGTCACAGTGGCAACCTTAAACTGCATCGAAGAACCCACACAGGGGAGAAACCTTTTGAATGCTCAGAGTGTGGAAAGAGATTCACCGACAGTGGTAGTGTTCGGAAGCACCAGAGAACCCACACAGGGGAGAAACCTTTTGAATGCTCACAGTGTGGAAAGAGATTCAGTGAAAGTGGTAGTGTTCGGATTCACAAAAGAACCCACACAGGGGAGAAACCTTTTGAATGCTCACAATGTGGAAAGAGATTCAGTCATAGTAGCACTCTTCAGATACATCAGAGAACCCACACAGGGGAGAAATCTTTTGAATGCTCAGAGTGTGGAAGGAGATTCAGTCAGAGAGGTCATCTTCGAGAACATCAAAGAACCCACACAGGGGAGAAACCTTTTGAATGCTCAGAGTGTGGAAAGAGATTCCGTCAGAGTGGCTATCTTCTACTGCATCAGAGAATCCACACAGGGGAGAAACCTTTTGAATGCTCAGAGTGTGGAAAGAGGTTCAGTCACAGTGGCAATCTTCTTATGCATCAGAGAACCCACGCAGGGGAGAAACCTTTTGAATGCTCAGAGTGTGGAAAGAGATTCAATCAGAGTGGCCATCTTCTAAAGCATCAGAGAACCCACACAGGGGAGTCACAAATTCAGAAGCACTAAAGAACCCGCACTGGGGAGAAACCATTTGAATGCTCACAGTGTAAAAAGAGATTTAGTAGGAGTTTGGAGGCACCAAAGAACCTGTACAGGTGGAAAAGCTTCTGAATGCTCAAAGTGTGGAAAAGATTCAGTCAGAGTGACACCCTTCTACTGCAACCAGGAATCCACACAAGGAGAAACAATGTAACTGCTTAGCCATAAAAAGAGCTTTTCTCCTATTTCATACCTAAAACACAAATACTGACCATAAGAACCACTGAATAGATATAAACTGCTGTAAGAAGCTTGAATGTACACGGAAACCTTAGGTTGACCAGGAAGAAATGTTATAAATACACAGTGTGGGAAAAGCTTTATCCATGTTCAAAACCTCAGAAAGATCCCACAGGGAAGAAAGCAAAGAATGGCAAAGGGCTCTGCTGGATGAAGGATCAGCTGATCTTTAGCATCGAGGAGTCCTCTCAGGGAAGGAACCTTATCAGTGCTCAATGTGTGGCAAGAGCTTGAGGCACAGACCCAATCTTCAGGCTCCTCAGCGAATCTATACAAGGGTGAAACTTCCCTATAGCTACTTCTGATCAGGTTCTTCAAACACCCTGGCCCTGGAGGTTCAGGAAGGCTGAGAAAAAAGTTACACAAAGAAAGGCGTTTTTAGTTTTTCTCCTCCTCTGTTAAACTTGCTACTACAAGTTATCTGCCATTCTAACTCTGACATCTTTAAAACTGGCAAAAACAGTTCCTTTCCCAAATTGTATGAAGCAATATACAAGCTGTAAGTGTAACAGATATCTACAGCCTCTCTCCCACTGGTATAACCATGGTGTGACCAGCAGGCATCCCGAATTCGCAAACATTTTTATCTGACAAGCAGTTCTG